CTTCTGTTTAATTAAATTTGAGTTTTCCAAAGTAATTTAATTTCTTATTTATTGTATCTATTATTCTTAAAAAATTTAAATAGTTGTTCATGGCTAAGATTTCTATTGTTGAGACTCTGAAAGCGTCTTTTCTTTTATGAATTCTCCACGTACTTTATGATTTCCACTTGTTAAACCATTCATATATATTCCTTTCAACCACAACAACTTTAAAGAGGCTCAGCCCTGGGTTCAACCAGTGCCACTACAGCATTCTCTCTCGGTTCAGTTGAGACCAGAAAAATCTCCCTTTCCGTTATGTGAAACATTCACATCCTTGAGCGATTTTCTCTCGGCAAATTTTCTGACGCTTGGACTGCAGATCAATGACACATTAACCAGACAAATACTACAGACGGCTGCGTTCAATATGCAGGTTAGTAACATGACAAGGCCAAGTGTTTCAAATCAAAGGAAAAAAATTTTCTTTTGGAATTTCTAGGCGTGTGAAACCTGAGTAACGTCTTTCAGTTGTTTACTGTTGTGGATATGCATGTTGAAAAATAAATGGGGTTGATATCTAATACAGTGCCAATATTCAAATGAATCAAATCTTGAATCCCTCTACTAGCTAGAGCATTGGCGATACTTTGTGCTAGAAAATGTTTTACCTTGTAGGCTATTTCAAAAGACAAGTGCGTTAAATTCATTTCCAAATTACTACATCTCTGCCAGGAATTCTAACCTTCTACGGTTCTATCACTTGTCTTACTCTTCCCCAACAGAGGCATGTCAAATCACTCTTGTTATGCAGGGGATTTTCAGGGCAAATGGAGGATGTGGTTATGTTAAAAAGCCTCAAATTCTAAAGCAGAAACATAAATGTTACAATGAATTTGAATAGAGCTGTCAAAAAAGCACGGAGCCCCTAAGCCCAGCCCATTCAACCCTATTAAAGCCCCATTAATTTTTAGCCCTTTGTGTGGTAAGATTATTTTAGCCCTAACCCGTAAGACCCATTCATTTATTGGGTTGGGTTAGGGTTGGCCCATGGATCAAAAACATTTAATTCATTTTCTATCATATTACATAATTTTCTCGGAAAAATTATCGTTGTCCTTTCCATCAAACTCTAAGGGTGTGTTTGGTTGGAGGAAAATCTTGAGATAGATGTGTAAGTGAGCAGTGGAAATATTGTAGCACCACGTTTGGTTGTGCCAGATTCCATAGTTACCTACCTAAATGACTTTCCTACCAAACCAGGAAGCATGTCTATTTTCATGGATATAGCCGGCTAAAGAATCCCTTTGAGGAAGTGGTATTGCTGAAAAGCAACCTGTTTCCCCACCTTGCAATTTAACCCAAAGGCCAGCGTACCCTCTCTTAAGGGGTGGAGGAGGCATACGGACACCCTGGCTTTGCATTTGTTGGAGTGGAAAACCTTGTGGAGGTGGCATTGATGGAGGCCTAGTACCCATATTGAAACCAGTCGTTGAGCCACTGCCAACAGGTGGTGGGGTGGGAGAGATGGCATTCCACTAGGAGGTGCAGGTCTAGGACCATTTGCTGCCATAGGAGGTGGAGGCGGCAACGATTCTGGCATTGGAGGAGGTGCACCAGGAGGTAGCCCTTGGGGAGGAGGAGGTGGTGGTGGTGGTGGAGCTTGGGGTGGTGGGGGCATAGGCCTTGGTGGAACACCAGGTGCTGCTGTGCCATTGGCTGTAGAGGCAGGATGTGGTTTGTTTGCCTGTGGTGGCTTGGGTTTAAAATACAACTGCAGTTGCAACAAGTATCAATCTTGTCATCAGTAATGGATGGGTGATGGTTGCTCACCGAAAACCTCGACACATCATTTCCAAAGACACAGATTTGTCCTTTTTTTCTACAGATGGACGTTGGAAACAAACACTTTTTGCATATGGACGTTGGGAAATGATTTAGAAATCTACGGGTATATGGGTAGCAAGGCTGATTCAACTTTTTTAAAAAATAAGGGTATTTTCGTGATAACACATTTTTTCCTATCTATATTTTACCAAAATCCAAACATAGACTTTACAAAAGTTACCTAATTTCTCCTTTAAATTTTTTTCATACCAAACAACTTTTTTACATTTTTCTATCAAACTCATTTTCTAACCATTTCCCCACTAATCTCATTTCTCTATTATTCATAAAAAATTTCCCTAGACCAAATGCCCCTGATTTTATTTTGTTCCGGCACATAGCCTCTCGCACACGCACCCATTGTACTAATTTCACTTTTATTTCTCCCAAGCATTCAAAATCTCGTAAAGATCGCTTAGTATTTCGTTCTTGTCAAGTTGAGCAACAATCATTTACAGAATCTGAAAACTCACTTATCGAATCCCTTCTTGGCATTCAAGGACGCGGACGCTCTTCTTCTCCTCAGCAGCTCAATGTCTCTCTCTTCTCTCTCTTTCTTATACACAGAAGTTTCTTCAATTTGTTTTTTGGATTAAGCATTCATATTTTCTTTTGTCTTCCAGGCTATTGAACGTGTTGTTCAAGTCCCTGAAAGTTTAGGGGGTGTCCCGGATCGGGTTCGTGTTCAATTTGATTCCATTCTCTTCTTTTTGTTTTACGTGTATTTTGTGTATGCTTTATGGTTTCGTAAGCATCTTATTTTTATATTTTTTAAACCTGATAATCAGATATAAATTAGGTGCTTTAATAAGGAATATTATATGCTTGAGAATTAGGTGCTTCTCATTTGTCTATAGTTGGATGATTCCTTTCTCTTCTTTGAACTATTGCAGTAGTCTGGTAGATGATTTCATTAAGGTAGGTTAGAAGTTATATTTCAATCTTTGTTTAATCAACCATGGGAAAAGACAAGGTACAACTATTCCTCTCACTTTGATTATATAAATTGCAGAATTTTATAATTAGGATTTTTGGTCTTGAGATTTCTGGTGTAGATTTCCAATTCGATGGTTGCTGAATTTGTGCTTAGAGAATTTTGAGCACAGTTTTAGACTAATACCCATGATTGGAAGCCACAATATTATGACTTATGCGCATACTTTGTGCTTGCTACTAGGTATTGCATAATGTTACCTCTGTCATTGTATATGGAATTATGTTGGTTTGCATAATCTTGGTTGAATAAGCTTAGGTTTGTACTGACGTGGATTGAATAGAAAAAAGTATATTATTATTATAATTAATTGTTCACGCAAATTTAGTTAATTCAAAATTATATTTGAAGATAGCAATCCTACCGTGTAGAGGTGAGGCCGAGTTAGATGTTACAATAAAGCCCAGTTTGAGCCCAAGTGTAAGGAAATTTCTTGCTTAGCCAATAGCCATTTCGTAAAGATTCCCGACCCAAACCTTACGAAGACCCTGAACAACTCATGCTCTGTGCGATGGGATTGGATTCATGCTTATATAAGTAGATTATCTAGCATCAGATAAACGAATTTCGTAAAGGGATGGGATTGGATTCACCCTTCGTAAGAAAAACGAATTTTACAACTCAATAACACATTAATTCTCTAAGCTGTTGTAAAGTCAGAGAATTTCTGTCCTTCAGTATTATTATTATAATTAATTGTTCACGCAAATTTAGGCTCAGATTACTTGACACCGCAATCCACATTTGTGGCAACTAATTATTTTTTAGTCTTTTTTTTAAAGGGTTATTTTCACTTTTATTAATTCTTTCTAGTTTATTTTAATTTTCAATTATCAAAAGCTTTGTCTGGTTGAAATGTTCCTTTGTACCTTATCCTTAAATAATTACTTATTTCACTTTTGCTTCATAGTGGGAAATGATAGTGAACTTTATTGCTACATTCACATCATTACTTGTGATTTTGGGAGAGAGCTTATGCCTCTACATGAACAAAGTGAGATTATAATAAGCATTTGCTTCAGGAATTGAGTCCTCTCAATCAATCTGATTTTCAGAACTTGTGTTCAGATCGGAGAGTACTCAACAGATTTTGATTACAAGGGGTCTAATCAAACTCAAAAAGAACACAACTTTCGGGAGTACTAGTGCCAGACATCAGACAACACAATATATAATTCATTGTCCTTAGGACCTTACTTTACTACACAGCTTAATACATACGGAGCCAACCATAATTTTTATGTCCTCAACATGCCTTTACACCAGTCTTGCTAGTGGTTTACATGCTATTTATGACGTGGCTTGTTTTCCCAATTCAGGCAGCTGTGGTTTACATGCTAGTGGCTAGCGTGAATCTTTGTTTTTCAAGTTGGTGCGATTTTCTTTGGGTCTCAATATGGGTGTTGTGGTTTTAACAGGTGACGAACAAGAAGAGAGCAGGTTATTGCAAGCAAGGTGGCTGAAGTGTTCTAAATTTTTTCCTGTTAGGTTAGTTTCTTAACCTGGGGACTTTTGTATGTGTATGCAGTGCTTTTATAAAACAAAGATGTGTGGTATAGATGCCATTCATAAAATGAAGAGTTAATGCAATTCTGTTGAAAAATGACTAGAGGTTCTTTTAGGACTACGACTAATGTTTTATTTATAAGATTTCACATAATCAGAAGACAATTATATGTAAGAAGTACTTTCTACGACTAAGACTAATGTTTACAATTAGGCAGGGGCCTGCTTTGTCTGAAAGGCATGCTAAATTTTTGCGTGAGTTCAGTAATGTGGTGGTCTTTGATGAGGCTTAACAGTTCCAACGAGAAGTACTTACTACTCGAGCAAAAGTTCTACTTTTGATGATATCGTTTTTACTTAAGTCAGCACTTTAAATTCTAGTTTCAATTCCTGTTTTATGTTCTCAACTAAGAAAAAGATTTCATGTCTCGGTAATAGCTTTTGAACATTGAGTTTCATTTGGTGGCTATGTAATCTGAGATTAATGGCTTATAAAATATATTATTGTTTTTTCCAATTTTTTTTTTGGAAGGCCCACGGGCTGGCCCTAACTCATAAGACTTTTGGCCCATGTGACCCAATATTATTGTGGGCTTTTGGCACTGCAGGCTTTTTGGCCCTAACCCACATGGGCTAAGGTTAAATGGGTCGGACTGACCCATTTTGACAGCTCTAAATTTGATTCTATAAAGATACTGCCAATGAAGAAAAATTAAAGGTAAGCATATATAACTCAATACTAGGTAAATTCATTTGTTTTGTGACATCTGAATGTTACGTTGTCATGTCAAATAACAGTTATAGTTACTCATTGCCAACACAAAGGACCTAATTCAAACATTGATATAGGCTAGATAGACAGGTTGTAATGAGAACTTGATTCTGGTCACAGTTATTCAAATTTGCCAGTCATAATCAAAATATGGCAGTATTTTTCAGCAACAACGGAACAGTTCAAACATCAAATATATATCAATAGCCTTGCTTATTCTTCTTTTTATTTTTCAATAAATATCGAGGTTACTGATATGACAAATTCAAAATTAAATTCTAAGGTATGAAAGTTGTGGCGCATCAAAGCACAAAACTTATTACCCGGTTCAATCAAAATTGAAATATAGCCCAATTCAAACAGCTTAATTTTCTTAGTGTTCAACAGGGTGGGAATTTTATTCATTTGCAATAACTAGTTTATTGATCTTCCCATTAACTAGAAATCCAAAATCCAACCTAGAGATAACATAAGCTACTTGGGCAGTGATTCAAGACACTGCTATAATAAATTACCAAGAAGGGACACAGAACCCACTGAAAGTGAGGTTGAGTTTGAAATCAGAGAGACAAGGCACGTGATGGGTCATGACTGGTCACGTGTTGTAGTGTTCTTGGAGTGTTGTTGGCAGGCAGTGGAGAAATTGGAATTGAGGTCAGAGTAGAGAGAGACAACCTTAGACATGTTGCCGTTGAGTTCCTGAATCAAAGAAACGTTCTTGACCATGTTGTTGGATAGCCTTGACCGTTGGTTCTCGTTGACCTGCTGAATCAGGAGGCGGTTACGGTCCAACACCGATTGCACCTCGCGGAAGCTCTCGTTGAACGATGCCCACACCTCGGGCTCGCCGTCCACCACCTCGCCTTGGGACTCGTCGGTGGTGGAGCGGCGAGGCTTCTTGGGTGGTTTTTGGCGGTGGTGACAGCGGTCTTCTTCCACGGTGGATTCCGCGGCGGAAGAGGAGGAGGAATGAAGGGAGGTCATGTTATGAGCACCAAGTGGCAAAAGTTAGGTGAAGAAAGTGTTTTGATTAATAATGCAAATTTGCAAAATTGTTTTTGTTAATTTGACAGAGACAGAGGCAAAAACAAATGTCGTTATGTAAGATTTCCTTGATTGGGTTATCCGAGTCGAGTTTAGTTAAAATTCAACTCTTGTGAGTTTATTTGATCAGATAAATTTATTTAAATTTGTAAAATCTATGTTCGGGAGAAACTTCGGACCTATTTTTTCACTTCATCAGTTATCTCAAAATACCACATCTCAAGTGATATTCTGTAACAGTGAATTTGATCCAAAAATCAACCCAAAATCAAAATCCTGAACCAAACGTGATATTTTTCAATATCCACTTGCACTTTTTCATCAATCCCAAAATAAATCTTTTAGACTACTTGAGAAAAATAAATTTTTTTTTTTTTGTAATAAGAAAAATAAATTTTAGTTTACACGCTCTTCAAGTTCAAAGAGATTCAGACAATTGTTAACCCTATCACTCCAAAATTCAGTTTTTTGAGGGTAGGAAAAAATATTATGACGTTATTGTAGCAAAATGGTTCAATTCAACCCCTGAACTGTACGTTTAACCCGATATAAATGGGGGTTGTTTTTTTTTTGAAAAATATTAAATAATGACTTTTTTTATGAGTTCACGAATATATATAACTTATCTATATTACACCCAAAACGAAGTTGTTTTGAGGTAAAAATTAAAATATTTTTGTAATTATAATTTATTTCAGGATTATAATAGTTTTTTTCATTATATTTTTTTAATTTTTGAATCCAAAACGATATCGCTTTAAGAGCGAATATAGATGATTTATCTACATTCACCTAAAAAACATTAAATTCTTTTTTTATACCTCTTTTGTCTTTGTTTGATACTTCTTATATCTATTGGGAATATTTTTTTTTTTTAGAATTCACTTTTTTTATATGTTAAAAAGTAGAGCTGTCAAAATGGGCCAATTCGGCCCATTTAGCCCTAGCCCAAGTGGGTTAGGGCCAAAAAGTCCGCAGGGCCAAAAAGCCCACAATGATATAGATCCACACTGGCCAAAGTCCTAGAGGTTAGGGCCAGCCCGCGGGCCTTTTAAAAAAATAATATGTATTTTTAAAAAAAATATTTATAATAAAATGGTGCATAGAAATTATTAGAAGAAATAAAAATAATTAATTTTTAGAAAATTGTCACTTTTTAAAAAAATTATTGCATAGAAATTTTTTCGTAAAAAGTTTTGACACAAAACATTTCTGTAAAAAAGTTGACGAAAAAAAAAATTCGTCAAAATTCTTTACCGAATCTAAATTCCGTAAAAGTTTTTGACGGAAAAATTTCCGTCAAAATTCTTGACGAAAAAATTTTCATTGAAATTTTTGATGAAAAAAGTTTTTGTTGAAATTTTTTACGAAAAAAATTTCCGTCAAAATTTTTGACACAAAAATTTACGTCGAAATTTTTGATGAAAAAAGTTTTGGTCGAAATTTTTGACGAAAAAAATTTCCGTCAAAAAATTTCGACGAAAATATTTTTGACAAAATTTTCGATAAAAAATATTTCTATCAAAATTTTAAACGGAACACATTTTTGTTAAAAATTTTCCACGAAAATTATTTCTGTAAAAATCTTTGACGAAAAAATTTCTGGAAAAAATTTCAACGAAAAAAATATTTTGTCAAAAATCTTTACAAAATCTAAATTCCGTCGAAAGTTTCACAGATATAATTCCCTCAAAAATTTTGAAAAAAAAATATTTCCGTTGTAATTTTCATTGGATCACATTTTCATCGAAGATTTTGGACGAAAAATATTCCGTCAAAATTTTTGAATGAATTCTTTTTTCTGTTAAAACTTTTGATGAAATTTTTTCGTTGTAAATTGGGTTGAATATTGTAGCCCGCGGGCTAGCCCTTACCTAACCCTATAATGAGGAACTTTAAAAGAATGAGCTTAAAATGACCCCATTTTATAGAGAGCTAAAATTTTATAGCGCCGATCCTCTTGAACCCCTTTTGACAGCTCTATTTAAAAGGTTAGAACGGGTCGGGATTTTTAAAATTTTCAGCACAATCTCTAAAGTAGGTGGGGATGGGTCGAAAGTTGGGCGAGATATGTTACTGCGAGGCAGATTATTCGCTTTGCCATTTCAATATTTGAGGTTAAACTATTAAATTAAATTATTTATTTAAAATTATTTTTAAAGGAAAGGATATGTCCTTATTTCGATATAGAGTCATATAAATTAAAGTCTTACTTATATCACGAAATACGTGAATTAATTGATATATAATTGTTCCAATTTGATTAATAGTTTCCAGTTTGAATCTTAAATATACAACTACATTAATAACTTAATAACGAAGAGTTTTATAGTCAACTGAATTAATCGATTAAGCAATGAATGAGTAGAGAAATCTTTAAAAAAAAAAAACTTCAATTTAATAATTATTTTCGATCATTTGACTTCTTGTAGCTTGTGTGGGAAGGAAAATTCGTAGTAAAAGATGTGAAAGGCATCTAAATAAATGTATATAGGGAATATAAGATCCTTGTATACTTAATTATTGACTTTTCGATTAACTCTTTCGCCGATTCCATCAACACGCATTTAATATAAAAAAAAAGGTAACTTAGTCTTATTATGCCGTATTCTCTCCTTTTCAAGAAAGTGATTCTTACATATTTTAACATGTATCCTAATCAATAATGTATACACACATTTATACATATATAAACCAAAATACTGTAAAACGGATTTACTTTTGCATTTTTATTTTTATTTTTTCAATGAGTTACTTAAGATCTATTTGGTTTAAAGAAATATTTTCTGTTTTCGCTAATAACTACAAAAATATTATCTTATTTTCACTATTTTCTGTATAATTTTTTTGAAAATAGGAAACAAATTAAAAATAAGGTAGTACGTTTGTAATTATTTGAAAATAAAAATTAAAAACCTCGTTAAACAAATTTCCTAGCCAAAGTCAAGATATGTGTGGTTTGGGGAGGGGGGAGCATACATGTGTAGGAGCCGGAGGGACGAATCCTGCATTAAGCAAGACCCTCATATTTGGTATGCTTGACTGCTCTCTAGAAATAAGCTTACATTTCTCATGACTCACGACTATAAACTGAAACATGAATAATATTTGCTTTTCTTGGTCCTTAATCATTTAACTACGTGGGCAAGGTTCCCTTCGTATGATTAATCCCTTTAATATTCAAGTTCTTCACATGCGTGTTGCAACTATTCTTGAACTCAGATTAGTCTTTTTATATTAATGTCATAAGCAGTGACGAAATTGCATTCTTAATATTCCACGTAGGCGCTATTCAATCATGAAATCCCAATCTCAAAAGGAAAATTTTTAATATGGTCCTGAACCATATTATTTTTTTTTGTGCTTTCTCACATATAACTTTTTCATTTTATTCCGCTTTTTTTTATTATCTATTTTTTCATTTTACGCCTTATTTAATTAAGAGAGCATGTGATCCAGAACCACACAATTAATGCTCCCTCAAGAGACCAAAACACAAAAGTTATTTGTTCGTGGGAAAAATATTTATCTTTTTAAATGATTTAACTTTATATCATTTAAGATTATAACTATTGATTTTTGTCAATCATTACGATTTATTGGGTTTCATTGTGAATTATTAATTAATTAAAAAATTTGACCCAATAAATTCTAAATGTTAATTGACGGAAATCAATGGTTAGAATCTAAAATGATACAAAGATAAATCATTTAAATGGACAAACATTTTTTTCTTTGTTTAATGAGAAATTTACTTCTTATATTGCTATAAAAAAATTTATTTTGTTATTAATATTAAATTTATTTTCTTTCTCTTTTTCTTCGGAAGTTGTCAATTGATATGGAGAAAGAAAAAAATAATTTTCATGTACTTTCTAAAATATATAATTATAATCGGTGACAAATTTTTATTTTTATTTTTTCGCAGAAACGAGAGTAAATAGGGATTTTTTTATAAGATGTACAATTTAAATATTTCTCCACTTATTTAACGGATGTGTGTCTATAGATAATTGGATAAACTGAAATAGCTGCTGCTAAGTTTGAATTAGTTTATGTTAGTTATCATTGTAACAAAAAATGTGGTCTAATATTACAAATAAAAAAATGCGGGTCTAAACAAATGAACAATTTTTTTGTTTTTTGAATTATGAAAGAAAAAAAAACTGTCTCCCTCTTAATTCCTTTCATTTTTACCGTTTTTTACTCAATAAATTATGTGTATTCCTATTTGCTAAAATGCTGTGTATCTGAGATTCTGATACAACTAATTATCTTTTGGCCAGCAAACAAATGATGGGTGCATACTTTGATTAATTTCATTATAAGAAAATAATGCATGCTTCTGTTTTTGTTAATAGATTATTACTTTCATATTCTATGGACAATCACACCAACCACCCACCAATCATTTGATATAATACACCACATACCTGTAATTAGGCTGTTACACTCGGCATATTTTGGTTTTAACTTCATCAAACTTCTAGCTCCATTCTAGCTTCAAATAAAGAAATTATATAATTTTTAATTTATACACCTGATTTTTTTTTCCAAAAGGCCAAGAAAAATTTCTAGATAAGTTCCGAAACGGTTGCAACTCAAAACAAAAAAGTGTTGACGTAAAAATTGAGATTTTTTTCTCCAAATTTCAAAAGAGTATGATATTGTAATAACCAATTAGGGTTACTATCAATCAATTTTACCGTTAGATCCAATGTTGTTAAAATTGAGATCTTAAGTAAAATCGAAAAGGATTTAAAAAATCGTAAAACGTAAAATCGTAATGTCAAAAAATCATAAAAGCGTTTGGAATATTAGTAAAATCGTTTTGATGAAATTTTTTTGTAAAAAAGTAAAATCGTAGTGATAAATCGAGATTTTAACAACAATTTATATCGATTATGTCATCTTTGTATGATTATGATTTCTCATTTCACATTAAACATGGAGAATCATAATCATACAAAGATGGAAATAAATATAAAGTATTAAATATGAGGAATCATAACCATACAAAGATGAAAATAAATATAACCGTTAGATCAACATAATCGATCTAATGGTGAAATTAATTGATAGTAATCTTGGTAGCAACCCTAATTATTGTTACAATATCCTTCTCCAAATTCAAATCGATTTCGTTCTTCTCATTTGTTCAAGAAGTATTCACGAACAGAAAATGAGAAAAATAAAGGCTCTCTCTCTCTTTGAATTTCAGGTTTTAACCGTGATTTTTGTGCAGAATATTCAATTCCTCTATTCTAAATCATGATTTATAAGGGTATTGGATAAAAGTCCTCCACCACGAATAAAGGCAAAAATTCCGTACTACTGTTAATTTGTAAAAGTATCTCAATACTGAAACACATTTGTAAAGATTGATGAGAGTAGAGCAGTCAAACATGTAGGGTGGACTGACGTGACCAGTCCCGCCGTTTACAACGACGAGATCAGCAGCCACATAGGATCCAACTCACGTGTGTGCATGTATCTCGCCACCTGCTGTGACTCATTTGAGTCCCGCCATATCAGTTGGCGAGACAAACACTGTCATCCGCCACGTGCCTTGACGTCTCTCATTCATTTGCAGCCATCCCATTCTTATCCCCTTACTTCTGCCCACTGCCCCTTCAAACCGTCTTCTTCTACTCACTGTTACCCGGTTCCTCCATTTTCGTAACTCGGTTGTGGAGTAAATGTGGGAAACAAATTTTCGTTGGCCAAATTTCCTTCTCCAGTCCGTTGGCACCTCAGTCGGAGCAAAGTGTGCATGTTCCCATCTTTTCCCCTTTCCTTTTAGTACTCTCTGAACCACAGGTAGAGTGTTGCTTATATTACCTTGATTTTTTTATATATGTGTAGTATTATTTTTTAGGGGTTATGGTGTTGTCTATCTGCATTATTTATAGGTGGATCTAGTTTGTTTGTTTTTTCAGGGACCACAGGTTTGGTGTTTATTTTTTTCGGGGACCACCGTTTGGTGTTGCATGTGGTATTTTTTTTGCATGTGTTTTTTAATTAATGAATGTTGCATGTGGTGTATTGATTTGGAGAGATACATGTGTTCTGAAATTGTTTTCATAATTACGACATAATTTTTTAATTACTTAGCTGTCAAACAAAATTATCACATGTATGTACAATTAATCCAAGACAAAAACAAGGTGGCATGAAAGGAAACTGATGTAGCCCCAACAAATTAAAAATAAAATAAAATGAAATGGTTGTTTTAGTAATTAGTAAATTTGTTTTAATTAGTAAAAACTGGCTCATTTGTTTTGCCTAATTAATAAAAAAACAGATTTGGCAAATATTAAAGCGATTATATAAAAAATGAATCATACAAGACGTTCAATGGCTAACCTGATGATGGTGGAATAACCGCATTATTGGACGTAGGGATAACAGTCTCCTGTGTTATGGGATTATCATGATGTTCATCATCACCTCCATCACTATCATTTTGATCATGGTCATTTGCCAGTAGAGTGCCTTCATCTTCTTCCTCCTCTTCATTGCCAGGTTCAACATCTACCATATAGTCGTTTTCATCTCCACTTGCAATAGTTGATTATGTGGGCTGGGGTACCGATGATGACGGCATTTGTGTCTGACTGTTAAGGTCCAACCCACGTGTCGGTATTGACATGTCGTCTGATGTCTCAATATCGACATATAACTCAACAAATTGAGACGTAGTAGAGTTTTGGACAAATGTTCCAAGAAAAATGTCAATGTCCTCATCATCAGTTATTTCAAAACCTGCATATTTCCGATTTCCACATGGGACTTGACCCGTGACTGAAGAAATTACCTGATTTTGTTGCAACTTCAACTTCTGACGAATCTTCTGAAGTAGATCTTCAATGGACAAGCCTCGGACAATATACATTGCTCTTTTTTCCCCTTCGAATCTCAACCCGCCTACACTGTTAATTTTAGAACCATTATAATATACAAAAGACCGATATTGTTCCATTGTACTGTGTATTTATGCAAATAACACAAAAGGATCAGATGAAAGTAGAGATTAAAAAAAGTAAATAAAAAACATTAAATACGCATTACAGCAACTCATACAAAAAAAATTACGACATTACAGCAAGGTGATACAACAAAATTTTAACATTACAAGCAAAGCAACTGATACAAAAAAAATTACGAGAAGTAAAGAACCCGTCAGTCAAAATCATATACAAAAATAGCAAACATCCCGAACTTTCAAAATGTCCCATACTGAGTAACACCGGAAGACCCTATATATAACCAGGCAGTTATTTCCGTAAGTGTCAGTGGCGAGATTAATTTTGTAGAGTACGGGACGCTACCCCACGAGTATCGCGTGGGGTGTGTAGAATGACAACGTAAACCGTCACCCAATGTGGCGGGAGTAGGTACACGTGGTTGGTACGCGTCACATTACCTGGCGGAGGTTTTGTATACGTGGCTTAGTCTCGCCAACTAATATGGCGGGTTACATGCACACACGTGAGTTGGATCTTATGTGGCTGTTGATCTCGTCGTTGTAAGCGGCGGGACTGGTCACGTCAGTCCACCCTACATGTTTGACTGCTCTACTCTCATCAATCTTTACAAATGTGTTTCAGTATGGAGATACTTTTACAAATTAACAGTAGTACAGAATTTTTGCCCACGAATAAGCGCGTCAACACAAGCTTAAAATAATTGAGAGTTCTATATAGGCAGCGTTAGTGAATTCAATTATGCAGCAGTAATCCCATAACAGAATCACAGCATCATATTACAGTTAGAAATGGTTTGGTTTCTAGATTGTGTTGCAGAATAAAACAAAATTATTAATATAACTCGTAAAGACAAAATGTTGCATGTGATCACATGTGTTCAATCTTTCGCTTCCACCCGTCACGCTTGATGGCAAAAAATATTGAAAGCACCCATTCATTGACCCTATGACTTTTCATTTCTTTGATGTAAGATCTTGTTGGATAGCTATACCTGAAATGCGTGTCATGCTAACAACGATCTAGAATTGAGGGTTGACATAGAATGTGTTGGGTATGGCTCATAAAGGTATTGAAATCTCATACATGATATTCACACATAATTTTCTTTTTCTTTTTTTAGTAACTTGAGCTTGAGCTATAAATTGGACTTTTTAAATTTTATTTATATTTTTTTGTAAATCAAGTGACGGTGTCCATGATGGCGTGAAGCTTGAAATTTTTTTTTTTTTTTTTTTTTATCGATTTGTGCAATTTATGTGTATGAATTTTCAACGGAACAATACTCCCCGTATAAAATAACATTGAAACATAGATACCGTTAATTGTGATTTAAGCATTTGGGTATTGTTGCCGTTGGGTTAGGGAATTAGAAATATTCTAAGTTTTGGGCTTATAAAGTTCCAAGCAATTGAGTGGACAAGTAAAGTCAAAAACATTGCACCTTCCAAGCCCCCCTCGTTTGCCTTGTGAATTGCATCATATATGCTTCTTTATTCCCTGTTATAAATACAAATATACCAGACATAGTTTTTGAAACACAGCTAGTATTGGAATTGGAAGGAATAATTACACATAGGGACCTAGATGGGTTTTTCAAAGGAAGAGAAATCCAAAAGGATATTGAGGGGTGTGAAGACTCTGTTCTTCTTGATCAACATGGTTATATCGCTGCTTCTTTTCTCCGTGCCGGTTCTCCTGGTTATTGCTGATGCACTTGTTCCTTCTGCTCTACTCTCTGCTCTTTCCCCCACTTCTCTCTCCCTCCAAACTCTGTTCTCCCATTTTGAGAACTACGATTTTCGATACTCTCTCATTGACATACCTCTCGTATCCATTATACGGTCTCTTGTCATCTTCTGTAAGTAAATGTACAAAGCAAAATTTTCAATTTTTAAGTGATTTTTAAGGACCCTTTTGAATCAAAAGTAATAGTCTGATTCCTCAGTTTCTGATTGTTCATGGGTTTTATGTAGGTGTTTATAGTTTTTGTGACGGACCAAGACTTTCACGTGGGCCTTATTTGGGGATCACCACTGTGTGCTCAGTGATGTCTCTGATATTTGTTTCCTTGAAAGCTGTTTATGTCTTTAGCAACTCGAGTGTAGATAGAACCTTCGAAATAGCTCTGTTCGCGTGCTCTTGTGCTTTGGCGGTGGGGCATATCGTTGTTGCATACAGAACAAGTTGCAGAGAAAGACGAAAGCTTTTGCTCTACAAAATTGACATCGAAGCTGTAAGAGTTTCCATCCTACTTTCCTTGCTCATAAAAATAAATAGAAAGAAGAAATATATATTTGCTATTTTTTGGGAAATGATCCATTAAGAAATTGCATTAATTTCCGAAATTAGTACGCGTTATTAATGAAAATTTCAAGATAATTTTTTACCCTTATTTCTTCGGAGTTATGATACTTCATGCTTGACACAAATCACATGATATCAATCACCATCCTTTCATATCTCAACTCTCTTTCGTCTTTCCTTTATTTTCATCAAATTTACCATTTTTTTTTCTTGTTTTGGTGGTAAATGATTGGTGGGTAAGAATAGGAAATTCAGTCAGGTAATGAGGTCCCCTGCAAGTAATTAAGATTAAAGCCAAAGAATCTTCCTTAGAGGACTTTTTAGTGCATTAGTAGGTTTGAGCACTTTATTCTGGAAGGGTTGAATATATTACCATGACAATTTTACTTGTGGCGGAGCAGCACCACCAAATTCATCTTGAATGGTTCAAACCAAATTCAAATTGGCCATTATACTCAGCTTTAGCAAAATAAATGATGCTGACTTTTCAAGACAGCCAAATGGAGCTGGTGAGAAATTGGTGAAAATCTACTCTCCAGAATGGTCAAAACCTTAATTTTTTTAATCATGATTTATAGATTTTGATAAAAAAAAAATAATAATATCCTTGAACATGCCAATTTTGAGAGAATCATAGAATATAAGACCTAGTCTTATTCACATGTGAATCTTGATTTATTTATTTTTATCGTTACTAAAATGATACCCTGCCTTGCGTTCAGCGAATCAGCATATAGTGGGTACTAGCTGCCCTTAATTGATTGCCAGGGGCCGACCATAAATATACATGGGTATCTATTCGATCATGTGTCGTATGCAGTTCCATGTTCACTTCTTTTTATATTAAATTCTAAATTTTTTTCAGCCTGAATAAATACGAATAATGGAAAAAGTGTATACGAATAATATTACTCTTAAAAAGTTGACCATCTCTTGATACGTGTGTAGATTTCAGCTTGCAAGAATGGGTATCCGAGGTATCCGAAGATTCTTCAAGAAGAAAGAATCAAATGAATCCGCTCTGACACTAGCATAGATGCTAGCTGAAAAATTATCAATCTAACATAGAGGTTTTCAGCCCCTCAATTACTCTTATTTAGTACGTCAGTGCGGCAAGGGATGCCTAAGGTAATTTACCCTTTTGAGAAAAAAGCTGTATTTTTTATTTTATTTTTTGGTAAAAAAAAGCTGTATTATTTTTGTTGTAACTTAAATAGTGATTTTTTAAAACCAAAACCTAAAATGCTACGCTTCTTGTCCTTGTATATACAGGTTTGTCCAAAGGAGACCTAACACATTGTAGAAACAGATTCAAGCCACCAGGTTACATTAACTCATTGAGTGGTGCATTGTAGGCATATATATACCATAGAGCTACTTCTTTGGCGATTATTTTATAGAGGAATTTTCATGTATAGCATTATCCACCTTGTTTGTTTTGTCCAATGGCAGCAACGAGTAAGATATGGCTTTCTATTTTTTAATGATGATTCATTATTAGCTCTACTGTATTTTTGTCACTGTGATGGGGTTTGATCTTTCACATCCTCATTTCCAATTCAATTCCCAACAAGGCATAAACACACACGCACAAAAAAAAAAAAAAAAAATTCATATAAGAACTGCTAAACTGGCGAATATAATTTTATTACTTATAAGTTATAATGAACATTAAACTGATTAAACTAATCTACAATCTCTCCTTCCTCTTCTTTACCTGTTTCCGGACCTTTTGACCCATCCAAGATGAATTGTGTCACTATTCACCGGTGTAATTCTCTCGGCAAATGATTTACTAATATAATGCGAAAAGAAACAATGCACATACTATTAGTGCACATTCAAGTCTCACATCATCTCATCTCATGTAAGAACTTGTGCAAATGCTAACACAAGCATACCATGCGGGGCATGCATGACATGAATAGGAACTATGAGGATACATGTCTTGCAAAACACGAAACATGACACGCATGTGCTAATTTTTGCACAAATTACGCATGAAAGCATGTGTCTTTTCGCATTAGATTAGTAAATCATTTGCCAACATAATTAAACTGATGAATAATTTCTAATTTTTCTTTCCATGGGACAAAAATCCCCGTTTCTGTGCTGTGCTCTTATGGCGCTTTACATTGTCCGGACTCTTCTCTACGCTTCACTATGATAGGATATCTCTTCTGCGTCCTAGTGGTTGGGAAAAATATGAGCTTATCTTCTTCTGCAGGAAACCAACTGGTATATAATTGAAAAAAAACATTAGTAATAGAAGAAATACGCTCCTTGATTACACACTAAAAGTGCTACTTAACAAACACCAAACGATGAAAAAATATTGTATTTCACCTGTAACCGGTGACAATGCGGTGAAGAAAGACAGAGAGCACCACTCTGGCAAGCTCATAGCCAGGGCAAAGCCGTGGCCCTCCTCCAAATGGTGTATATACGTTCCCAGGATTTGTTACTTCTGAGTTACTCTGCTATTTTGATCATAGGTAAAGCAAATAACACTTTGAAATCTAAGCCTCATTGAACAATGATAAATATAAAACGAGTGAGCGAGCTACCTGCCATCTCCATGGATTAAAGGTGCGGGCGTCTTTGAAATGATCAGGGTTTAGATGTACAGCACGAAATGATGCAAAAACTTGCCATCCCTTAGGAATAGTGTAACCTATTACAAGTGAGGAATTAAAACTAAGTTGTAAATTAAATTGTGCTTTGCCTATGAATATAATTGGTCATAGTTGATACGCTTTCTTCTTCGGTAATTACCTTTTATGTTGATGTCTGTCATTGCTCTCCTAAATATCCCACCGATTATGTTTGCCACCCTTAAAGTCTCATTTATAATCTGCATTGCACAGTTCAGTATAAAACTTGATTAATAACACTGATGAACTTAATTGAAGCTGTTTGTGCTTTGAATCTGGCTCCTGATAGGTGCCAAGTTGTTAAAACTTATTTCCTTAATTTTTTAATGAATGGTTATAATTATACATTTTATTCTCTAAAATGAATTCCTCTCGAACCAAATGCTTATGGTTTATGCATCTGTAATGAGTTTTGATGTTCTAAATCAGAATATAAATAAACTTACGCATTGAGTAAATGCCATTGACTTATAATCTGTCCACTCCAGTGGTGCCTCTGGGTAACTCTTCTTTGCTCTGATTTGATCATGCTCTTCCTGCCAAAACAACACAAACGGAGGTTTGGATTATGAATTGCACTGTGTAATAATTGACCACCCAAAGCAATACTCAATTAATTAATTAAATCTCCAAAATAACGATGGGGGTTTAAATCTCCAAGCTAATAGAACTTGTGCACAGCCCAAAAAACGAGTGCAAGGGACCAATGCTATGGTAATGCTAAATGCAACGGGACTAAAAATCAATGACATCATCATATTCACTTAAATTGCACCATTTGATCACAAATGGTTCCCGAAATAAAAGTGCACGATTTCTCATGGCATGGGAGGGGACCCGAGGGATAACTCTGCGCTGCAACAAAAACAGTTGCAGTTTTCCACAAACCAAGTACTTACGAAATGACGGATAAGACCCTAACGTGACGACAGCAAGTGCGTGAGAGTGTTTTTTTGTCTTTCCACCATGCAAACACGGGGATGGTCCGGTCAAAACACCAAACTGTGATCAGATTATGATTTCTGACATCTCTCGTTTTATTTTATATTTTTGGTTATCTTTCTCTTGAGTTTTGGTCATACACCAAAACTACTAGGCGTGCTGTAAAGAAATCCAATCAATGTGGGACTATATATCTCAACACGCCTCCTCACGCAAGAGTACTTTAGGCTAGAAGCGTGGAATTTTTATTTCAATTCCACTTTTAAAGCGGGGGACGGTGAGGCTCTGATACCATGTAAAGAACCTTGGGATACACCACTCCAAAAGCTAGCTCAAAGGGTGAGAGTGTTCAAGGCCTTATAAAGACTATATATCTCAACACGTGCAGTTCGGGTCTAACAATTTTGTCCGCTGTTTCAACAAATTTGACATAGTGGATGGCACCATTATTCCTTTTTTAATACAACTTTGATTATTGCATAAGTTTATGAAAGAAATTTTAGATAATTATATTTCAGTTTAGTAACTTCATTTTTCTCAGCAACAGAATAAAAAGTCTTTTAATTTTGCTGCCTTATTTATGTAAATCTTTGTGGTGAATCATAACGTTGAGCTGAGGAAGAGTAATCATAATCACGATAAGTAATTTAAAAGGTAGCTTTAATGGTGAAATTATCAAAATGACCACGCCAACCCGACACCTACCCACATCGTCCTCCTTGATGGTTGTTCTGTCCAAGCCAATGCATGAGTTTGAAGTTTTCAACTGTATTAACTGCGGTGGAAAGTTTTAGGGGACAGGCTTTTAACTGCTAGTTTCAATTTCACTTCAAAAGTATTAAACGAGCAGAATACGACAAAACCAGCCATCAAATCTTTCGCTTTCTCTGTCTCCCTCTCACGTCAAAAAGAAACTTGTGTCCAAATGATTTTTTTTATTTTATAAATAGTAATTTAGATTAGCTATTTATATATTAAGAGATTAAATTAGTTCTTTTTCTATAATTATGCATTCAAAAGAAAATTGAGTGTAAAAACAGAGAAAAAAAATTAGGTCAATCAATCTAGGGTGGGTGAAATGAAAAGCATCAGATAACGAAAATGAGGTTTCAATGGAGACAACACCGCATGAACAGTCATGGACATGGACACGGTGGGGGTAATTATAAGGAAGAACCTACATCTATATGGTCCACTACCCTAGCTGTACATATAAAAATATAAGCAAAACCGGTTTTATTCATATGTCATTAAATTGCAGGGAAAATATTTTTTTCATGTTACGTAAGAATTTAATTTTTATATTTGTGACTTTTTGATTTGTGTGTAAAAATGTTTTTTTTTTTTTAATAAATATCATTAGTTGAGTCACAACAGAGAATTTAATTCTCATGAAACATAAGAAAATCAAACCCCTTATATTAGTTAAGAAACATCGAAAAATTGAACGATAAAAAATAAAAGTAAATTTTTTTTATGAAAGACATATAATTAGCAAGATATATATGTTTTATAGTTAACGTTTATGTTTCATGTACCTTGAGCTGTGCCAATGCTAGAGGAGTCTCGGTGAGGAACTTGACGGCGAGAGTCATTATGGTAGAGGTGGTTTCGTAGCCCGCGACGAGCAATGCCAACATAAAGTCCACTATTTGCTCGTCGGAAAAGTGGTCGCCGGACGCCAACAGTGCCCCTAGCATATCATTCTTTTTCTCCCCCATTATGCTCTCTTTTCTTCTCTGCCTCACTATCAATGTTAATGCCTCTGCTACCTTCGTTCTTGCCTACATAATTAAACATTCCCTTAATTAATTACCATTTAACTTTATGAAATGTCAATTAAAAGCGTAATAAATTAAAGTTCATGCACCTTGATGGCTCTGCGGTAGGTAGTAGAGAACAGGGGTAAGGGTAGGGTGAAAAATCCTTCAATCACGAGAACGTACTCCTTCCTTAGAGTCTCTGTCCATTCACCAGGATCAAAGCTCATCAGCTGCTTTACCGTCAACTCAAACGTTATCTGCAAGTAACACAAAGCAAAATTATAATAAAAACAAATACCCATAATATCACCATCATCATTACACAATAGCTTAATAAAAAAGCAAAAACAAAAAAGTAGCAGTATTAGAGAAGAAAATGAAAGGGATTTTTTATTTTTAACAATTTTAGTATAAGAGTGAGATTTTATGTGAAATATTAAGTTTTGTTATCAGGTGCTTTTACCAGAGATGGTAAGGAATTAAAGATATTTTTAAAAAATAAAAGTATTTAAAAACATAAAAATTTAAAAGGAATTTTTTATTTTTAAAATTGTTATAAAACGCTACATATAACATGTCACATATGCAACTTGAACAAATTCTTTCGTGCAATTTATTTCTTATAATTTATGTGATTAATATTTTTCATCTTATAGGAAATATATACACACATAAAAATATATATAATCCATTTTTTTTCTATCTATTATCTTTACATGACCTCACATAAAGTTTACACACTTTTATATACGAGAAAAATGTTTATTCTTTTAAATGACACAATTTATATTATTTCACTCTCACAAGAAAGTGGGACCCACACCTATATTTTTTTTGTCAATTCTCTCTACTTTTTTATCTATCTTTTTTTCTCTCTTAAAATGATACAACTTTATCTCTTTTAAAATGACACACATTTTTCTCTTTATATATATAAAAAAAATTATCTATTTTCCAAAAAAAAAAAGATAAAATTATCTCTAACAGAGTAAAAAAAACCTTAATCTCATATTTTATATAGGAAATGATTATTATTATTCTTTGCAGACATTAAGCCATTTCGTTAACGTGGGGCCACTAATGCACGGAACGGGACACATTACACTAAAACATGGAATCTGAGTCACCAACCCCAGTTCCATTTCCATCACGTAAATCACAATCACATGCTACCATCAATATATAAACTTAATCAAAATTATAAGTCACAATATCTCATGCCAACACAAACCTTTCACTACTAATCAACCCAAAATTGAATAAAACAAAGTTAGTTTGAATGAAAATGTAAAATAAAAAATAAAAACTATAGAGACAACATTTCCAATGAACTTTGAACTAAATAAACAAAACAAACAAATTGCGAGATACATAAATCAACTCTCTTGAGCGGACAAGTTGAATATGATTTATGACATGATGGCAAGTGAGCTCGACTCGACCGATCCATCGCCTATTTGACTCAGTGATTTTATTTTTGGGAAAGTTGAGTCTTTTGTTTAGGTTTATTTTGCATTTTAGTAAAGAAAATTCTGTGATTAAATTCTCCAGATCGAGGGGGAAAAAACCAGGGGGCAGGGGTATCTAACCTTCTTGGCCTCCTCCATGAGAAAAACCCGGTCGGTCCAGGAATTCAAGTTGAGCCGGATGAGCCGGTCTATGTCAACCAGTAGATGATCCTTAATAATGGAGGAGTTGGCGAAGCTCATAGTGAGTGAGTGCATTCTCTTGTGGAGGGCACCCTTCATGAGAAGCAGAGAATGCTTCCCAAGGAGGTTCGATATCGAACCGGGGTAGCTACAATCGAACAGCTTCCCTTCGTTCAGCAGAATGAACCGGTTCGTTTCCGGGTCGGCAGAGAAAACCGTCGGCTCACCAAAGACGTGAGTAGTAAAGATTGGACCGTACCGGTTCACCCTCTGGTCAATGAAAGGCTCTGGGTTGTCGGTCTTGTAGGCAGATATGAGCTGCAGAGTCTCGCCGAGAAAGGGCAACCCCAGGCTTCCCGGCGGCAGTCGGAACCGCCGGTACCGGGACCTCCGGTGAAGGAAAAGAAGGATTGGAAAGATGATTACAAAGAAGAGTAATGTGAAGATATAAGCCATGGAAATGATGGAAAGCAGAGAGTAATAAGTAGTGTATGTATATATGAAGCAATAAGTTTATGGTATATGTATGTATTATATAGACTATAGAGAGAGGGGGAATTGAAGGAGCTTAGTGAATGAATGAATAGAGTGAGAGGTGGTGAGTGGTGATAATTTCAAGGAAGGGGCATTAATGGAGGAGAAGGAGGGAACACACGGGGGTATCTGGTGAGAATCTAAAAGTAGAAAAAGGACAGGAGGAAGAAATAAATGTAGGGATATTTTGGTATCTGATATCCATTCTTACCATTATTAAACTATTAAAAGAAATATTACTCTCATTTTATTTTAAAGATTTATTTATGTTTTCTCTCTTTAAAAATTGTATTTTTTTTTTTTAACGATGAATCCTACTTGAATTCTATCTGTAATATACGACAACTAATCTTATGTAACATGAGAATGACATTTTGCTTAAACTTTATCAGAGAAGGATAAGACTTTCGGTGGGGTAGTTTGGGAACAATATTTATTTTTTTTGAAAAGCTCCAAATCGCCATACGACTTTTTTCATAATCATTTATTTTCCTTTTATTTTTTCCATTCAAGTTTATTTTCATAAATATATTTATTTTGCCCCCCTAAACAACGAAAAAAATTAAATATTTACAAAAAGAGATAAGTAATTAAAGCAACAAACATATGAAAGTATTTAATGTGCATTCGGTGCACAAAAAATTTAATGAGTCAAGCCAATAAAAAACTTACTTCTTTTAAAAAGTTTGTAAGAAAAAGTAAAAACTTCCGCCAAACACGCAGAGTAAGGGTGTGCATGACAATCTTTCTATTTCCTAGCACTGTTTCTGAAAAGAAACAATCATTTTCTATTTCTGTTTCTTTGGAACAGTTTCTGAAAAAAAAATATGTTTGATAACAAATTCAATTTTTATTCCGAGAATGAAAATTGCGTTTGATAACAATACAAATAATCTATTAAATATAAATCTTTTTGGATCATCACTTTCCTTTTCATATGGTGGTTGTGGTGGTGGTGGTGGCAACAGAGGGTGGCGTGGTGGTAGCGGCGGCAGCAATACGACGGTGGTGGTGGCAGTGACGTGATGATGATAGTGGTGCTGATTGTGATGATAATGGCTACAGCGGTGGCGGTGGTAGTGGTGGGGATGGTGGTGGTGGAGGTGACGGCAGTGGCTGCGACAATGGTGGTGGGGATGATGGTTGGTGGCATTGGTGGCGGCGACAATGGTAGCGGTGGCATGGTGGTGGTGGTTGTGATACACTCATGGAGATGGTGGTGGTGGTGGCAGTGACAGTGGCTGCGGCGGTGGAGGTGGTGGTGGTGGTTGGTTGTGGCGGCAGTGGTGTCGGTGGTGGCTGTAGCAATGATAGTGGTGGTTGGTGACAGTGATGGTGATGTTAGCGGTGGCGTTGTGGTGGTGGTAGTGGTGGTGGTGGCAGTGGTTGCGGCGGTGGTGGTAGGTGACAGTGGTGATGGTGATGGTGGCGGTGACAGTGGTGATAGTGGCGGGGGTGGTGTAATGGTGGCGATGGTGATGGTGGTTGGCAGCGGTGTCGATGGTTGCTGCAACAATGATAGTAGTGGTTAGTGATAGTGGTGGTGATGGTGGCGGTGACATCATAGTGGTGGGGGAGGTCACGACAGCACTAGTGGTACGGCGACGACGATGGTGACAGTGGTCATGTTGGGATGATGGTGGTGGCGATCATGGTAAAGATGGAGAGTGATTAAGAGATATAAGTGTTTCTCGTTTTGTGCTCGGGAACAAAAAAATAAAAAATTTCTAATTCTTTTTTCTGTTCCCCATCACAAAAATTAATCTGGTTCATCTCGGGAACAAAAAAATACATCGGTTTTACCAAACGAGTTTTCTATCCATTTCTGTTACCGGGAACATAAATTAAAAAAAAAATTGATTCCGGAAAGGTTGTCATACACTATGAAGCACCGACACTTAAAAAACTCAGACGTGTCGTGTCTGACACTTCTCGACACTCTGGGACACTCTGACACTCCAACACGTATTATAGAAATTCAAAAAAAGATTCAAATGTTAAGTTGCGTTGAGTTTTTAGTTTCAATTATTAGATTCGTGGGATTACGATTACTATTTTATTGAGTTTAATGTAAATATTTGAGATATCTTATGTTTCTTTACAAAATTTATGAATATTATAAGTTTAGATACATTTTTTTTTAAATTATTGAATATTAAATATAATATATACTAAATAAATTAAAAATATTATTTAATATCAAAACGTGTCCTAACGTGTCGAAATCTAACATTTTTTAAAATTAACGTGTCAGAATATCGTGTCGTATCGTGTCACGTATCCCGTGTCAGTATCGGTGCTATATAGGTCATACACACCCTAAGTCATTAAAAAAAAGCGCAAGGATAAGAATCAGATTTTTAAACTTTTCCTTTATTATTTTTCTTGTATAGAAATTTTTTGAATAATAATATCGTAACATTAGGAAAATCAGGATTTGTTTCCATAAAAATCAATTATTTTTTTAAACTTTTCCTTTATTGTTTTCCTAGTATAGAAATATTTTGAATAATAATATCGTAACCTTAGGAAAATCATGATTTCCTTCCGTAAAAATCAATTATACTTTTAAACTTTTCCTTTATTATTTCTCTAGTATAGAAATATTTTGAATAATAATATCGTAACATTAGGAAAATCATGATTTGTTTCCATAAAATTCAATTATATTTTTAAACTTTTCCTTTTTTATTTCCCTAGTATAGAAATATTTTGAATAATAATATCTTACATTAGGAAAATCATGATTTCTTTCCGTAAAAACAATTATATTTTTAAACTTTTCCTTTATTATTTCCCTAGTATAGAAATATTTTAATAATAATTTTGTAACATTAGGAAAATCATGATTTGTTTCCATAAAAATCATTTAGGTTTTTAAAATTTTCCTTTTTTATTTTGCTATAGTATAGTAACATTTTGAATAATAATAAAGTAACATTAGGGAAATCATGATTTGTTTCCATTTTTTTTTAGAATAGATTTCAAATATCAAATTAATCATAATGGATTTCAAATATATTTGCTAGTACTGTCAAAATTGTTATTGAATTTTATATTTTGTAAAACTATATTCTGAAATTTTAATTTTTTTTGTCATTTCTCACATATTACTTTTAAAAACTAGAATTCAAAAATTTACGTGATTTGGTAGGAAATTACGTATATTTATAATTATAACTATCTCAAATTCAAATAAAAGCCACAAAAAATCTTATAACTTGAACTAAAACTTGCAACATTTAGTGAAAAACCTGTAAATTCTTAGTTGAGGGAGAAGCTCTGCCAACTGAAGCGTGCGCTTTTGTTTGGGAAAAAAAAGGAAACGAAAATGCGAAGGCAGAATGTGTGCAAAAAATACTCTTTTCTTTTAGTTATTGATTAAATCTTGGTGTATGTTACATTTACAAAGTATACTATGTATTTTCTGAAATACGCTAATAGCCGAGTCTATTTTTGAAAATACATAATTGAATTTGTAAGAATTTGTAAAAAAAAATTATAAATATAATATTTTCCTTAAAACTTTTATACATCTTGATTCTTGATTATGCATTTTCGAAAATGCATAATATAGTTTATAGGAGTTTGTAAATATAATCTATCATTTGAATTTAAGTTTTTAAAACATGAACTCAAGTTGGCATTTTAAAGAGAATGGCATAATAATATATTAACTAGAGAGTATTAGACATTATTTTATAGTGAAAAGCAGCAGATCGATCCATACAACGTGAGTCAATTTATGGGCATTTTCTGCAAAGTGCAAACCACTCATGTGCTCACAAACTTGTGAGAGACACTATACTTGATGGGTAGATCAAGCTCTAAATAGGCGTGCAGCTCTCTTGTTTTGTGATGCCATGTAAACCCACTAGTATACTTGGGAGAGGGAAAAGTATGCAGCCACCTATACACGTGTGTTATTTTGGTCCACAGTATAAAAAACAATAATGACAAAAAAAAAAAACCAAAAGGTCTAACCTATAATTAGTAGAGTACGTGACCTGTAATTATACTAGATATCTTTTTAATTTTTATAATTCTCAGAGATGATATTGTTGTAGATGATATAACTTTTAAGCAAACGGAACAACTAAGTCCTTTTCTTCATTAGGTAGCTAGAGTGGCTTATATGGATAAAAAATGTCAATAGCATTTGCTCGAGGATAAAAAAAAATTTAATAGATAAATATCATTATTAGAAATATGATTAAAAAGTGAATTTGATAAAAAAAAAGTTAGAAAAAATTGTTTGTTAGGCCAAAATATTACTGAAAAATTAGGTTATATTTTCTGAGTCTATATTTAGTTGAAGTTAAAATATTTATAGAAAAATGTGATGAAATTATCAAACTAATCCTTGATTAAATACAAAAAAGACTTTCTCTCTCTAACTTTCTTTTGGCACGTTTTTTGAGAAGGAATATTTGTGTCCATTATTTTTTTTCTACTTTTTGATTTGATGGGTAATGAGAATACCACTCTCTGGGTGATATTTTGAAATGATAAAAAAATTTAATTTTACACACAAATTGAGTATGAGAATATATGTGGAGAAGGATCCATTTACAATTTTTTTTTTACAAATTACACTAAGTATGACCGGTCATACACTATTGATTGAGGTATGTTAGAGAATATAATAAAAATTCTTAAAAAGACTCTCACCCAATACCTTAAGATTTTGGGTTGAAGTGGTTATTTAACATGGTATCAGAGCTTGAGTGACCACAAGGTCACGACCTCGATCCTTACCGCCCTCCACTTTCAGGTGGAATTAAGAAAAGCACAAGGCAGACCAAAAAAATGGGCTTTAGCAGCACAAGACGAATCAATAATGGGCTTGTGTCATATCCACGCTCCAAGCCCAAAGGCTCTTGCGTAAGGGGGTGTGTTAGAGAATATAATATAAATCCTTAAAAAGACTCTCACCCAATACCTTAAAGTTTTGGGTTGAAGTGGTTCTTTAACATAGTATAACCGGTCATACTTACTGTAATTTGTAAGAGTT